ATGCATGGCTGTTGATACTTATGTTAAAAAATAAGAGCAAACTTACACCAACGCAAGCAGAAGGAAGAAAATCGTAAGATTAGACAGGAAAGGAATGAAATGGAAAATAGAAAACAACAGAGAAAATCAACCAGACCTAACGTGGTACTTTGAAAAAACTGACAAGCGTTTGCCTAGAACTGATAAAGAGAAGAGAGCAGGCACTGAAATTACTAAAATCAGGAGTGAAAGAAGGATGTCACCAGCAACCTTACACACAGAGGAGGACTGCTAATAAAGGGACACTATGAAGAGCCATGTGCCAGCGAATTCTATCACCCAGATGAAGCGGGCAGATTCCCAGAGGGACGCAAACTGCCTGAACTGACTCCAGAAGAAATAGAAAATACGAACACATGGATAACAAGTAGAGAGAAAATCAGTGATCGAAAATCTTTCCAGCCCTGGCTGGTTTAACTCAGTTGGTTGGATGGAGCATCATCTCATAAAAATGGAAGGGCCACGGTTCAATTCCCAGCCAGGGCACACGCCTAGGCTGTGGGTCCGGTCCCCGGCTGAGGTGTTTATGGGAGGCAGTCGATCCATGTTTCCCTCTCACACCGATGTCTCTCTCCCTCCCTTCCCTTCTCTCTAACATGTCCTTGGATGAGGATAAGGGAAAAAAACCTGTCCACAAAATGGAATCAGAAATCAGTAAAGCCCAGAATCAGATGGTTTTACTGATTACTTCTAGCAAGCCTTTAAAGAGAGATTAATACCAACGATTATAATTGCTGTGTTGTCCAGTAACACGCACGCACACTCTGCGACGTCCGCACAACGACGAAATTGCCTAGCGATGCGTCTCTTGGAACACGTCCGTCCCATCGCTGTCCTGGGGTCCAATCTCGGGCGCAGCGTCTGGCTCAGTCCTCAAGGCAGCCCAGAGAGGCTGGGGCGCTGAGTCAGTCCCACGTCCCGCAGACGCGGGCTCCCCACAGAGGGCCAGGGCTCGGAGGCCTGGACCCTCCCTGGGGGAACTGGTCTAATCCAAGCCAGGGCTGAGGCCTGTGCCAAGTGCCTGCCTCACTAACTCATTGTTGGCTCTGAATGTCCCAGCCTCCAAGCCTCGTTTCATCTCCAGGCGAACCCCTGGCTCGCTCGGCTGCCCTGCGGAAACCCCTGCAGAAGCTCGTCCTGGAGGTCGGTTTGGGTTTTCAAGGCTCAGAACCAGGGCCTGCTGGGCAGAGCAGGGAGCAGGTGGAGTGGGAGTCAGGAGCCCAGTCCAACACAGAGGAGCAGGCGTGGGCTCTGGACTCCAGGGGTGGGACAAGGACCCCAGTAGCCGCAGGCACCGAGGCCAGCCCTTCCCCTGTGGTGTGCAGCTGGGCACCTGCCAGGCTATGGAAAATGTTCTTCCCAGTTTGCTTGCCCGTTTAGGAAACAGACGTCAATCATCCCCGGAAGGGCTAGGAGCTCAAGGCGGGCACTGTGGAGCCCCAGAACCTGCACACACCTCTGCTTACCTGTCGACAAGCCACTCATGCACCCTCTGAACCTCAAGGCACACGTGGGGTCCCTGTCCAGCCCCCTCGGCTCAGCTGAAGAGGCCACAGAGCCGCTGACCCTCTACTCTCTGAGACTCATTTTATTTGTTTCCCACACCGGCCGTCCACCCGGCTCTTCCTCCATCACTCACACTTTCCTGACAGCAGGCCCAGCTGATGCCGGAACGCGTGTTTGAAAGCTGCATGCGCAATGAGCTGGGCAGCTGGGGGCCCTCCAGCCGGCCTCATTTTCCGAGGTGGGGCCCTGGAGAGCCTGCTCCAGCCCCACCCGACCCCCCTCCATCTCTCCTGGGTCCCCACTTGCGGCAGGCTGCAGAGCCGGCCCCCAGGACTGCAGGCAGAGCACCGGCCCCAGATGAACAGCAGGTGGGATGTGGAGGCGCAGTGCACGTGCCTGCCAGGTTCCCCTCCCCCCGAGAGGCGCAGGGCACGGAGATGGCACAAAGGCAGGCAGTGGGGCCCCGGCTCTCGGGAGTCGCCTTGCTGGTGGGGCTGACAGACAGTAAATGGCACACAAGTGAGCATTTAATAATCAAATTAATGCTGAGAAGAAGATGGCAGGGAGCTGACAGGAACCGATGGGGAGAAAGGGGAGGAGACGCCCTCCTGCTCTTGAGAGGTTTTCCCAGGCGGTGGGAGCAGCCCCCACCTGCCGGCCACAGGCGGCGTTGACGGGGGCCGGCCCACTCGGGGAGCGGTAGGGTGGGCGTCTTTTAAAGGGCCTCTGACTGCCGGGGTTGGGGTTCCCAGAAGAAGGCGTTCAGTTAGGGGGCTGTGGGGACGCTGCCCCTGCAGAGTGGTGGTCCCCTGGCCACCAGGCCTGAGAGGGGGGTGCCATTCCTGCTCTGGACGCCCCTCTGCAGATGGAGAACAGTGCTGCTGTGGGCACCACGGGGTTGCTTCCCGTCCGGATGCCCCTCGCCAGCCGAGTGATCACAGACACACCACACGCCTCCCGGGGCCTCTTCCTTGTAGCCTGTGAGGCTGTGAGGGAGACGGGGGGGGGGGTTAGGCGGGGAGAGAGGGACTGCGCAAGCAAAGGGCGCCTTTCCCTCAGAGGAGCCGGAAGAGGACAGACGGCTGGACGGCTGGCATATGACCAGATGCCAGTGCTCATGAGGGAAATGGAACCGAAACAAAGACATCACCTCGCACCTGTCAGGACGCCGTCATCGACTGGGCAACGAAGAAAATGTGCTGGTGGGGGTGCGGACGAAGGGACCCCTCGTGCACTGTTCACGGCACTGTGAGTTGGTGCCACCAGCACCAACTGTGCTGTGGGAAACAGTACGCAGGGCCCTCATCAAAAAAGAAGAACGGAGCTGCCTTATGTCCCAGCGATTCCACGGCTGAGCATTCATCCAGAGAAACCCAATTGCTCGTTTGGAAAGATATAAGCACCCCCACATCCACTGCAGCATTATTTACAGGCCAAGAGATGGAAGCCATACAAGCGCCCATCAGTTGGTAAATGAATGAAGAAGATGCAGTACACACACGACGGGGTGTTACTCAGCCAGAGAAAAGAATGCAGTCTGGCCGTTTGTGGAGTGTGGACGGAGCTGAAGGGATTATGCTCAATGAACTAAGTCAGACCAAGAAAGACAAATGTCATTTGATTTCACTTACATGTGGAACCTAAAAACCAAAATAAGCAAGCAAAACAGAAAAAAATGGTAGACCCAGAGAATATTTTGATGGTTGCCAGATGGGAGAAGGCTTGGGGTGGGGGGGGAGGAGAAGGAGTTAAGAAGTCACAGGGCAGTGGCGGGAGCGTAGAGCGCAGCCCAGGGACGGTCGTGGGCGGTACTGGAACAGCCGCGTGCGGTGCCAGGCGGGTACCGGACTTACCAGGGTGATCGCTTCTGAAGTCTGTAAATACCTAATCACTCTGTGTACATCTGAAACTAACATGATATTGCATGTCGACTGTGATTGAATTTTTTTTCATTATAAAATACAATCAGAAGACTCAGAGCGCGCGCAGAGCTGCGGGAAGGAAGGATCTGCTGGAGAGCGGCCGCGGCTGTGCCGGGCGGAGACAGGGGGGCAGGCGGGGGAGCGCCGCAGCCCCGGAAGGTGGAAGCGAGTCGCTCCTCTGACAGCCTGAGGGACTTGGGGCGGGGGGGCGGTCGGGTCCTGGGCGCAGGTGGAGGCAGGTGTGTGCGTGAGGCAGCGGACATGACATGCGTCCCTCCGGCAGCTTTTCTCTCCTTTGTGAAACAGGGCGCGAGGTCCTTGCTGACCTCGAGGAGGGCACTGCATGGGCGTCCAACGGCCAGCACCCTGCCCCGCCGCGGTCTAGACCTGGGGAACGCACAGCCCCCACGTGACCGTTCTCGGGCATTAGCGCCATCATGCATCTGCCCCCAGGCCTCTCCCATGGTGACCCTCCAAACCCAGTGACCCGGGCACATTCCAAGCTCTCCCCTCTCCACCCGGCACCTCTCTTCCCCTTTCTCTCCCAGAAGTCATCCCTCGCCCTTGGACTCAGCCCGGCGTCTGTCCCGTGTGGGGCCAGCCCTGCTTGGGTCCTCTGCTTCCACCATGCAATTGTTTTCTTAAATACCTGCTCGTTGAAGGAAAATTCTGTGAGTCTGAGAGCTCACCTCTTGCACTCTCCCCGAGGTGGGGCTGGCCTCACGCCCCACACTGAGGTCCCGGGTCTGCCGGGAGCAGACATGGCGTCTCGGAAAGTGTGTAGGGTTTGAATTGAGACGCCTCCTTCCTGGATGAGCTCCACACCCAGCCAAGTACGTGGCCTTAGACAAGTCACTTCTTTCTGCTGTCATCTGTCAGGCGGGAGTGTTAGTCATATTCCCACAAGCTGCTGAGAAGGTCAAGTGCAGTCACGGGTGTGCAATGTGCTTTGCACACCACAAGGACACCTGAGTCCACATCTCCGGGGACAAGCTGCGGCTGGCAGCACCAGCCTTCCCGGAGGCAGCCCCTCAGCTGCTAGTCCCCACGGACCCCTTCAAGTACCCTGTGCCCCCCCCCCACTGGGTCCCTAACACCAGGGCTGGGCCTCAGGCTCCGCCCACCCGCCGTCCTCCAGATGCAGTCCCAGGGCCCTCTGCTTGCTCTTCTCTGTGCCCCACACGCCCCCTCCCAAGTCTCTCCCTTCCATAGAAATGAACCCACTCCCCAGTGACCACCAAAATGTGTCCTTCAGGCAGGAATGAGGTCCGATTCCTACCCAGGTGGCCAAAGTCCCACACAGGGGCCAGCAGCAGCCGCCTGAAATGAGCACATTGACCCATTTGTGCAGGGCGGTCCCGCCCACCGAGTGTAGCAGCTGCCTCTGCTTGCCTCTTGCTTTGGGGCTCAGGGGACACCAAAGCCTGGTGCTTGTGGAGGGTGGGCTGGTGGCCGTGGAGCGAAGGCCGGGGGAGGGGACGCTCCTCCCCTGTGGCTCTGACCCAGGCCTCTCTCTCCGCTTGTGTTTTGCAGGTCCTCCAGTAAGTGCCCCGGACTGTGCTCTCTGCTCCCGAAAGATAAGACGTTTTGTTCTCTCTGTAGCACTTCCATGAAAATACTGTTTAGTTAGAGAGGTGTGTCCTAAAAAAATGAGTCCAGACAGGGGCCATATCGTCTTAAATTTGCAGATGAACGCAGGTGCAGAGCTCAGTGGGCTCAACGGGCCCCTGGACACATTCCGTGGCCATTTTCCCAGGGGCACCGGCAGAGCCGCTGCTCCTGCCCACATCCGGCTCCCGGGCGCACAGAAAGGCGGGCGTCGTGCCCACTTTTGCTCCCTGCAGCAGTTGGCCTTTCTCCGTGTTTGCCTCACATGCTTTGGCAGAAAGGGCTCTGGAGTTGGGCAGATGTGCCAGGAATAAGTCTGCGTAGTAACTAGATTCCAGGACCCATCTCTCTTCTTTGCCAAAATATGTCTGGCTCCCTGGGTTCCCTGGGTAGGGCAGCTGGCCACCACTGGGTTTGAGAAAGGGGGGGAGTAGGAGGGGGGGGGAGCCGCGCTGGCATCGCCAGGCAGCATTGAACACAGGGTGTAGCCCACTGCGTTCAGGTTCTTCTCCAAGAAACAGGACGAGCCTGCCTGTGGGCAGCCCGCTAAGTCCTGGCAAAGGCACCCCAGAAGCACATTGAGAATCTGACTGAGCCAAAACGCACCTTCTAAAGGAATTCCTTTGGGATGAGCTGTTTTATTTTTGACTTCCACTTGCCATGATTCATTTCCCGATCGCCCCCTTCGGGATCCGGGCTGCTGGAGGCACGCAGCGCCTCGCGGAGCCAGAGTGAGCCAGCAGGAATGTGCAGGTGTACGGGCCGCGGCATCTTCCCGCGGCTGAGTCAGTCCCGGCGACCACATGGAGGCAGCCCGTGTGAACTGGCTGCAGTGCGTCATGCGGGGGGCTGGGGAGCAGGGGTTTTGAACTCGGCTGTAAAACTATTGTTTTAAGCAATGCAGAACCCCGAAGCTGCCGCCTGAGGTGGATGCCAGCCTCTGAGACGCGGGCAGGCGGGCACTGCTCCGAGCACGTGGGGCAGAAGCAGGGATGCCTCCCTGGCCTTGCCAGGGCCGGCTTCCTTGGCTTGCCCATCCCGGGGCAGCGGCGGGCAGGACACCCTGTCCACGCTCTCAGCCCTTCAGCAGTATAGGAGCATTTTCCACGGTGGCTGTGACACGGCCCCTGGGAACCCCGTGTCCCCATGTGGCCCTGGCCATGGTGCTGAGTGGTGTGGGGAGGACTCACGTGGGTGCGTGTCCTGGTGGCCCCTTCAGCCTGGCCCAGTGACGCAGGACACGGGTGCTCCAAGCCCCAGACCCATCAGAGCCCCGAGTCTCCCCGTAAAGGCTACCCACCAGCAGCCTCCACTGCAAACTCTCGAACACTGGGGGGCAGAGGAGTCTGGGGGGCCCTGATTGAATGCTAAGTGTTGCCATGTGGTGTTTCTGCAGAAAGTCTGATTATTAATGACGTATTAATTACCACAGGGGCAATCAGGACGAGATGGCTACCCGGTAATTTGCCGTTTATTTTTTTCTCTCTTTGCCCTTTCCTCCCAAGCCAGCACCCTCCCTCTGAGCCTTTTATTGAACTGTCTGCGCTCCTTCCTCCTCTGCTCCTCAGGGCTCTGGTCTTTCCGCGGGACTAGCAGTAGCTCTGGGTAGGAAGGACCTGCGGGTGTGGCCGGCTGGCCTGAGGGTGGTCGCAGCTCCAGCTGCCCTGCAGGCAAAGCAGCGAGGCTTTGAGAAGGCATCGCCCTGGGGTCCCCAGGCCACCACCCCCCCCAAGCTCAGTGCCCGCCCAGCACTGCTCTTCCCGCCTTGGCTGCAGAGCGCCCTCTTCCCAGTACACAGAGAACTGCCTGTCTCGCCAGCCCCACGGTGTCTCTGCTCAGGTCCCCAGACTGGCTGGGTTCCAGTTTGGCCTTTGTGGTGCCATCACTGGTCAGATCTTTTACAATTAAACCTAAAACTTAGCTTAGGTTTGGACTCAGTGCCCCTAGCCCAGGCTGGTTGGGGCCACGCAAGGAGCGAGCTGAAAGGCAGCGGGCGCTGCACAGACGTCCTGCTGCGACCGGGCCGGGCAAGTCCTCCGTCAAGTCGGAGGCTGTGTTTGCTCTGGGCCTGCAGCCAGAGAGATGCAGGGAGGGAAACATGGGTTGATTCAGGGGCCTCTCTAATGGCCAGACCTGTTCAGAACCAGGAGGGGCTGGTGATGGAGGCAAGATGGGTCCCAGGTCTGCAGGAGCTGCCTTCCCCGGAGGCTGGGGGCAGGCAGGGGGCCGGGGGCCGGCCAGAGCTGGCGCCTCAGGCTAGGTGGCCTAGGGGAAGGTGCTCCCCTCTCGGATCTTCAGGCTCCTGCTGTGTGAACCAGGGCGAGGAAGACCTCACCCATGGCCCCGGGGTTGGGGTCAAATGAGGAGGTGAGGGCAGCATAGAACCATCAGCTGCCAGGCCCTCGGGGACTCTGTGGGGACCCTGGAAGCATTTACCTCATGCCCAAAGCAGCCCATACTGGGTTCGGGGCAAGGCGGGGGGTGGACGTGGGACGCGGAGCTTGGAGCTGTGGGGAAGGAGGTGGGTTGGGTCCCGCAAACCTTCCTCGCTGCCTGCACTCGGCCCTCCAACCGGCCACCGCTGGGAAGCCGCTGGGAGCAGGCCCCACCAGGCCTCAGGGGAGGGGAAGCCGATGTCTCTCACAGGGCTGAGAGCCCCCTTTTCCTGAAGTTGCGCAGCCCCGATTGCAGGCCCACCGCCATTTCCACACCAGCCTGGGCCTCGCCCCTGGCGAGGCTGGCCTCATTGCAGACCCTGTGTGCCCGCCTGGGAGGCTCCCAGCATCCGCATTCTCATGCTGCCTGGTGGGTTGGCCCTTCCGTGGGGCCAACAGGCCGGAGGAGGCACATGTGGGCAGGGGGCGGGCAGGCAGCCGTCCGGACTCCCGCTTTTGGGGCTGAAAGCCCCAGCTCTTGATGGGTGGAGAGCCTGGCCCCCAGCCTGGGGTCTGTTCACAGAGCCCTGCGCTCCACATGGTCATCCCAGAGGTCATCCCAGAGGTCAGAGGAGCGGCCCCAGAGGCACCTGAGCACGGAGCATCACCCCAAGTCCCGTCGCTGAGACTCAAGTCTGGTCTTGGCTCAGCCGTGCACACTCGGGCAGGCCGCAGGGCCTCTCAGAGCACCATGGGGGGGGGACATCACGCCCACAGGGCCAGAGGGCTCGGGAGTGACACAGCCAGAGCCCCCCGGGAATGTCTCGCTCTCTCCTCCTGCCAGAAGCCTCAAGAGGAGGAAGGAGGAGCTTGGGAAATCATTCCAATCCCCCCAAGGGCAGCGGCAGCGTTTGGAGAACTATTGGTTGCATAAAAGGGAGTTGGTTACCTAGTAAACTTCAAAACCTGCCTCGGAGGATTTTTGGATTTTTTTAATTTTAGTTTGTGCCTGCACCTTGTCACTTCCTAAAGGGAACTAAGAACAGGGAAAAAGTCCCCAGGAAGGTTGTGATGGAGACTGAGCTGAGTTTTCCAAATTCATCCCCTCCCCTGAGCAAGGCCTGCTGCAACCCGGTTCCTTTGCAGAGCCCAGAGTCGGGGCTGGGAGGACACAGGAGGCCCCCACTCTCTGGGGTTGGAAGCGGCCTAGCAAGGTTCTGCGGGCCGTGTCCACAGCCCCCTGGCCCATCCTTTCTGCCACAAGACTTCACTGAACACCCCTCACACCCCCCATGACAACTGAAGGGTATTTATTATAAAGCCCACCGCCCCCCACCCAAGAGAGAAAAGCACAAAAGCAGAAGAAGCGGCCATCCTCGGTCCAGTGACCCACAGACAAGTCCTTCCAATATTTTGGTGTTTGCTCTTCCAGCATTTTTTATACGCAAGTTTCTTCTTTTATTTCTTAGTCTAAGGCTGAAATTACAGTGAGTATTTTTTTGGTAGCTCTTTTTTTTTTCAATTAATGTACCATGAGACTTTCCCACATCATTAAGAATTCTTATAGGATGTAATGGCTACCTGGTATTCTATCATATGTAATTTATTTAACTGGGTTCCAAGTTATGGTATCTATTTTGACAATTCTTCACCCTTTTAGTCTACGATTACCTCCCTAGGATAAATGTCTAGAACTTGGACTGTGGGACCAAAGGGCCCGCACGTGTGCAAGGCTCTCAATGTGCATTGCCAAATCGCCCCCCAGGAGGTGGTACTAATTTATATTCCCACCAACCCCGAACAAACCCTGCATGTTCCCCCGAGCTGTACCTTTAAATCGATGCAATACAAGTTAAAAAATAGATGTGTGTATGCGTGTGTGTAAATTTGTATTTTGTTTCAAATTTAGGTGTGTGTACTACGTTCTTTTAATTGAAGGTGTGTAGTTTTAGAGATTAAACTAGTTTTGACAGGTTTCTGTGATTCTAACTGCCACCTTGTGGCCGAGTTTGTAATTGCAGGTATAGCACTGAAAGAGAAAATCACCAGGTTTGAGAGTTTCCAGATCTCAGCTGGTCCGGGGACAGTAGATAACAGGGCATCAACCGCAGAGGGGAATTTTGAGCTCAGGACACTGTGAGTGGGGCCTGCAGAGCAGCACTGGGTACAGCACTGCTGCATTTTGGGGGAGTAATTGACACTTGCATTTGATAAAGTGAATTTTCCGCCTCCTAACTAGCAGGCTTGGCTCTGTTCAGCGAACCGTGAGGCATGTCCCAGCCTGTGCTGACTGCCGGGGCTGCACAGAGATGGACCAGAGTCAGTGGCAGTCTTTGGGGGCCAGTGCACCGTGGGGCAGAGCGGGAGGAACAAGCTGGCGTTGCTGTGCCTTTCCTGGAGCTTTCTTATCACCATCCCCCTTTTTCTCCCCGATTAAAAGACTTGTCTCTCAGGCAGGATGCGAGTCTCGCCCACCCCTGGACTTTTGTCCGGAAAACATTAAAACATCACGTTATCTCCTGTTTACAACATAAACATCGTTACTCTTCGTCTTCTTTGGTATTTGACCTTCCTGACTCTTACTGTGGAATGACAGTAACTTTCTGGTTTGTTTTACACCTTCAGAGTGTAATTTAAACATTTCTTGAAAAATGCATATTTGGTGCCTTGGCCAGGTGGCTTGGTTGGTTGGAACGTTGACCCACACTCCAAAAGGTCATGGGTTCGATTCCCAGTTAGAGCACATACCTAGGTTTCGGGTTTAATCCCCAGTTGGGGCACATACAGGAGACAACCGATCAATGTTTCCCTCTCTCTCTCTCTCTCTCTCTCTAAGATCAATAAACATATCCTCAAGTGAGGATTTTTAAAAATGTATATTTGGTAACATGTTCCAGGGCTTAATATTTCTCTGCATTTGCGCAGATGAGGGGGTGTTGGGCTGCGGTCCTGGGGTGGTGAGCCAGTGCGCTGGCCCCTCCATCGTGACTCTGTGCCGAGTGCTTTTCTCGGTCTTTGGACCAGCACAGATCAAGAGAAACAAGCCTCTGCCTGGAGGGGAAAGGAGATGAGCAATATGCACACAAATGAGCCAACATGGCAGCTTCGAGCAGCAACACACCAGAAGAGAACCAAGCCAGGACGTGATGCGGGACCTGGCTGGGCGAATGGGCCGGCTTCCTTTGGCTGGAATAACCAGAAGGCCCTTGGGGAAGACGTCATGTGAGCTGAGGCTTAAATGAGGTCAGAGATGCTGCGATCTTGGGGGAAACAAGCTCCTGACAGGGGAGAGCGCACGTACGGCTCTTGTGGCTGAAGGAAGCGAGCAAGGAACGGGAAGGTGGTAGGTCTCGGGGCTCCATGGAGTAGAGAATCCCGAAGGCCAGGAAAACTTGGTTCTGCTATAGAAACCACTTGTCCCCCAAATCGGAGGCGCGGCACACCGAGGGCTCAGAGAATGTCCCTCTAGAGGAAACCGAAAGAGAGAACTTCCCCCATAGCCCTTCCATCATACCGGGGCAGCAGGCAGACTGTCCAGTGCTTGCTTCTGTGCACGCTCCCAGGTGCCCCCGCGCCCCGGAGGTTAGGGTGTCCGCCCTGTTTGGCAGGTGAGGAAGCTGAGCTTAGAGGGCGTCAGGACTTGGCTGAGACCCCATCCCCAGGCCTGACAGAGCCCGATGGGCACCCAGGCCGCGTCTCTGCTCCCTCAGTATGAAGGTCAGTACGTGGGTCTGGAGCACATGTTCCATCTCCCCTCCTCACCCTCTCTCACCCGGTCCTGGGCTCTCCCCCCATGCGCTGCTGTCCACCTCATTCCCGAATTGTTAAGACCCTTTCTTGCTTCCCCAAAACACAAAAACAACAAAGCAAGTTTAACTGAAGAATCCGTTGCTCCGCTCCACCTACTTTCCTATTCCACACTCATGCGCCTGTGTCATCCTCGTTACTAGAAATTAGGAAGAAAAGCATCCTTCTCAGTCATGAAGTGTCAGGTCCCGGCCTGTCGGGGAGCTGCTGAGTCCCGGCCCTGGGCGTTACAGTTTGTGCCTGTTTTGTGGATTGGAAAACCGAGGCTGTGAGCGGC